TTAAGATTTTAGTTTTCTTAAAAACTTGTCACTTTTTAGCTTCGAATACTGTTTTTTTATATCAAAGGAAGTGTACGGCTGATTCCAAATTTTGACTTTAATATCCATCTCAGGTTTCTCTATTCTTAACCATTTTCTTTCCAATATTGTTTTATTTTTCCCTCCTTGGAAAAATGTACCATGATTCCCTTTTTTTCATCCTATCCGAAGTGTCTCTGACATTCGATATGACTTAAAACGGCATGATTCTGTCAGGGAGACCAAGCTGGCAGACTCTTTCGTTTACCCAAGTATTTTCCATGTAGCTTCGCATATTGCTTAACAACTTTCTCCGTCAACACACCTGACAAAGAATATCGTTTTTGTCAATCTGAGAGGGAAAGTTCAGCCTTTAATAAAACATAAACAACTGAGATTGGTAATCTGTTACAAGGCAGCTTTAGCAACGTACACAAGGGTGGAAGATATTTTGTGGAATCAGATTTGACACATTTAAGCAGCTGCTACATCTGTAGGCTGCGGGCAAATAAAACGAAGGTATAACTGGGTTCTTTAACGAGATGCAGATTTAGGATAAATTCGTTTTCAATATGATTGTCTCTGCCTTGCTGGTGCTGGTTATATTGGAGCCTTCATTTTCTGAAGGTAGGTAAGAAAAGAAACGTAAAGAATTAAGCCGGCAATCTTTCATAAACTGGTGGCGTATTCAACTAAAAAGTCAATGCATGTATTTTTGTTGAAGTAAGTGGTATCAATTAAGTTAAATTATTGAACTCTGCTGGCTTTAAAAAGACTTTAAATGTTATCCTGGATGTTACAAGAGGAATGAAAAGGACTTTTTGCTTATCATCTAGCATTGGCTTCAGTTTCCAGGTTACTAACGGTTTGCTCCCCTGGAGATTCTGATTCTAGATCATTTCTCGTTACTCGTCATTCGGAGCCATCCTTGTTTCCTTGATCGAGTTTAAACTATTACTTCATCGTATCATTCCAGTCAAGAACAATTCTCAACAACCCAAACAGGAAAAAAATACTTATCGTTGAATAGGTCCCTAAACATTCTGTGATCCTTTATTCATTGAACTATATCGTTATCATTTATAGGCACAGAAAAGTGAAGAAGGTTTTCGTTTATTGTTGTTGCTCCATTTTCCACTCCTCAGGATGTGGCATGCGTCCTCCTTTCGCGCGGGTAATCAACGGTGAAGATGCTAGTCCTCATTCTTGGCCCTGGCAGATTTCTCTCCGCAACTCTCGAGGCGGACATATCTGTGGTGGATCCCTAATCAGACCAGACTGGGTGTTGACTGCAGCTCATTGTGTGGACAGAAATCCAGATCCAAATGCATATACAGTGGTTGTGGGTGAGATACCGGGCGTTCATGATGGGCACTTAACGTTAGTCAGATTCGGCTGGTTAAACCGGTTTCATTCAGGAATAAAGTTCTGCTTTTGATAGAATGTTTCAGCCATAATCTGTCATTTTTGTATTTGCGTCCACCAGTCTAAAACAATTGCCTAGAAAATTTAGGACAATTATTCAATGCAAATCCAGTAAACAAAAAGATTCCGTTTGCCGTATGTCTCTCTAGTAATCACAGATGTCGTCAAAATACGGTTAGAAAAAAATGTAGCACACGTGGCATAGCAGGTTTGGTCCTTCATCTTCCAGAAATTTTTAAAGTGTTGCCTTGGATCTCAATTGTTGATGCATCATTTATAAAATTGGTGGTCAGAATTACAACCTTACCAGTCGGAGACAAGAGTGCTGCTCATAAATAAATGCCTTTTCAATTAAGCACCAAATATCCTGGCTAATTTATCGAAGAAAAGTGAAGTGGCAAGAGGGAATAATTATACCTAGGATCATCGGAGCTACATGGCTAAGAATCACGCCAGTATTGTCTTTTTTCACCCAGGTGCTCATATGCGAACTGGAATGACGGATGTGCAGCAGACGTTTCGGGTGAAGGCACTTTACAAACACAGTGGTTTTACCATGAGGCAACTCAAACACGACATTGCGCTGCTACACTTAGAGGAGAGTGCTCAGTTAAGCGAGAAAGTCACTACTGTCTGCCTTCCGGACAAAGATGCAGATTTGAATTCCAAGTGTTACATAACAGGTTTGATACAAAAAGGGAGTAACTTATAAGCTTACACTTTTAACTTAAATGGAAAGCTTTTGTGGTATCCTCTGTGCCAACCACGTTCACCTGAAATAATATTTTTCTTTTAATTGCCTAGGATGGGGTCGTACCCATTTTGGATCAGCAAATACCCTACAACAAGCTAAGCTTCCACTTGTGTCGCACAGCGATTGTAGGAAGATTTGGCGAACACTTGACCGGAGTGCTCACTTGTGCGCTGGAGAGGGACGATCCGGGGCTTCAGGAGGGTGTCATGGAGACAGCGGAGGCCCTCTTGTCTGCGAGATGGGAGGGAAGTGGTATCTACATGGTGCCGTCAGTTTTGGGATGCGCGGCTGTCCAACAACCCATTATACAGTATTTACAAGGATCACCAGCTACATATCCTGGATAAACGAGAAAATGGGTCGGTACTGCAGCGTTTCGCTTAAGCTTGCAAAGTGATGGACTTTTTAGATCACATTCAAGCTTTTCTTGAGGATATGAGTCAATTAACAGGGTGCTCGATAATTAATTAACTAGTTCCTCTAAACTCATAAATGAAAATCCTTACCGCAAAAATTAGACCACTTGTACGATTAGTATGTTGCTTCGTGGAAGTTGAAATCAAAGGCGTTTATTGACAAAATAGTAGTTGATTATCTTATTTGTCTCTGAATGGACAATCTTTAATTTGCACCACTACTCGCTGATCGACTTTTTAATGTAAGTTCTTGCTGTAAAATGGGTGTCGGTTTTTCCTGAACAGGAGAGGACACAGGAGGACCAAATCCACCCCCACCCCCGCAGACACCTCCCCCTCCCCCACCGGCTGTAACGACAAGACCACCACGACCGCCTAACCCTGGTGAGTAAAGTCTGGTTTTCAATTAGGCTAAAGGCACCACGAAAACCCTCCAAGAAATTTACATGTTGATAAACACAGGATTTGAGTGATTTGAGTCGTCAAGAAAAATAGTAATGTAGATGCCGTAAATAAACTAATAATGTACATGAAAAACTTGCGCGCTTCTGATTGGCTGAAAACAAGTGCATTCACATGTAACACAAGTGCAAAGTTGTCATAGGAGTGCAAATTTCAAATAGCGCGCGCGTGCTTTCAAAATTTCGTCTGCCTTGACCTTCTTTGATATCCTTTTATGTATATTATAAGCAAGTAATAATATGATTTTTCTTGCAAGTTGGTGTAATAAGCGCTTGTAAATTGGTCAAAGACTACAAATTGTACTTGCTCTACGAGCTCGTGCAATTTTGTTGTCTTAATTTACTCGTGCTTATTAATACCAAATTGCACTGGAAATCATGTTATTACCTTTACTAATGAGACCATTTTCTTGTACCTTCCTCGTATTCTACTCAATTCACTTAATGCAGGATGTAAAGACAAGTGGGGCGAAGAATATTGTCGCAATCATCGTCATCTTTGCGGTTCCATGCCATTTTTGAAAAATTATTGCAAACGAACTTGCGGAGTATGTAAGTACAGGAAAGACATCTTCCCAATAAAATACGGACAGATCATCTTGCACTTTAGTATATAAATTTCTAGAATGCTACTAAAAAAATAACAGGCTGGTGTTACAATACATATAACACTAGCTATTTATTTCAACAAACGGAACCACGAAGTACATATATGTACTGAAAATACTGAAAACCTGGAGTTTTCGTTATTGTTTGTCATAACGATCGGCGTGTTTATTCTTGTTTCTTTCCCAACAGGTTGAGACTAACGGAAGAAACTTCTGAGGAAATACGAAGATTTCAGTTGAACATAATTTATGACAATAAACTTGAAGTAAATTCTGATGAACGTGATTCTTAGTTACTGAATAATGTCTCTTTGTCTATTCTCTGGTTTAAAATATTGAAAAGGTTGAAATGTTTATTAACCTCATACAAAACAAAACTGTATCAAAAAAAGCACATCCGACAAAGACAATCCTTGAAGTGTACTTTTATAATTTTGCTGGCTACATCAAACATTTTGCAAACTGAACATAAGTTTTCCTTTTAAAATCAACAACTGGCTGGGTCACATTTAGACACTTCAAGGAATAAAATGAAGCACGGATTTCATGGTTTTCCCAATTTCCTATAGTTTTCTTGTGGCCCTTTCTATCAGAAAAAAAAATGTAAGCATTATTTTTCTTCCTCCGTATGCCAGTTTCGCTTGACTTAGTAAAAATTTTTTCAGTTTCTGATAGATTTCAGATGCAACACGAAGAATTATGGCGAGGTCTAACATGTCAAACACCTGTGTTTGGAAAGCACACGGCCATCAAGATTGACAGCCGGCCAGATACACACAGTTGGTTTGAAAACTATATACAAAAGTTGTCCTGTGAATATATTTGAGCAAGTGTATCTCACGGGTAAACCTTGAAGACAAACATTTACTTTTTCGGTCAAGGGATACGCATAAGGCTTGTCGAGCGTTTTTTGGATGCACAGCCATCTAAGATTGGCAGGCTGCCATGGATATAAAGGTGGTTTGAATATGTTTTACCAGGTGCACCTCACAAGTAGACCTTAAGGACAAAAAAAATTTTTTTTTCGGTCAATGGATTTGCGCAGAACTTTACGTTGACCTTTTTTTCCATCGCAAGTGTACTCGTTGGCAATTATGGTTTAGGTTGGTTAACTATTCTCAACCAAGACATCCGTCTTGAGGTATTCAACTGCCTTGAAATTAACTGCTGGATATGCTCAGTTTTTTCGAATGATCGTTGATGTGCTAGATTGCACTATGGAATCAGCTTCTGCAAACTACGCCAGATGGTAAAGACAGAATTTGAAATGTTAGCTCAAATCGCATGATATATATTTTCTAAAGCGAGGGATAACCAGAGATACGGTACTTATTTGGATGGTGTCAAGATGATTGCCTTTATCACCCTGGTCCTTGTAGTTTTTGCACCGACTTATACCGAAGGTAACTTTTACCAAACCTTTCTTCTTTCCAGCCTTCTTTTTCTTTCCTTATTTTTTAACTTTCCTCCTAAGCAATGCCTTTTGCCTCTCTCTCCGCTCGTCTTAGGGTAAGGGTTAGGGTTAGTTTTTGCTGGTAGAAATTCCTAATTGCAAAAATCAATACCTATATATTCTAAAGATTGTGTTTGAAAATAAACGCAATCACTTTTGAGTCCTCGCTTAATCAATAGAAAAGTGAAAGATTCATCATTTTTAAATAAGTGTCCTTTTAATGTCCATGTAATGGTGAAGTATTGTTTCAAAGTGCCGCAGCATGGACATGTCCCTTAAATTGATCACTCATCTCCAAAAATAGAATGCTCTCCCTTCATTTAAAAGTTTAGAATTGCCACAGTGGAGTGAGCGACCCTTTATCAACTCCTCCTGTGGACCACTAAGTTAAAGAAATGAGACCAATTGACATGAAGTAATAACCCATCGAAATATCCTTTTGAACATAGTTGACAGGCTTTCTGCACAGGAATTATCTTGGTTTAATTGATCAACGCCGGTTATTTTAGTGCTCTCCAAACTCTTCAAGCGCCCCATGTCTCAAGAATGTACAGCGCACGCTCATAGCAGTTGATTTATATCACGTTTAAAGAAGATTCCACTGTTTCGTTTCAATGCATGTATACACCTCGTCAGCGAACACAATAGGAATGGCAAACATACTAGTCCCACTGAATCGCTAAAATATATTTGCTGGCTCTTTCATAATACATCAAACGACTTAAGCTATAGCTGATGCTTCTCATGACCGCGGCGATTGTTCTACTTCAGGATGTGGAATGCGTCCTCCCTTCGCCCGTGTGGTGAATGGCCAAAATGCCAGCCCCCACTCTTGGCCATGGCAGATTTCCCTTCGTGTGAGAGGTAGACATATCTGTGGTGGATCTCTCATCAGACCTGACTGGATCGTCACTGCAGCACATTGTGTGGACAGAAATCCATCACCAAGTTCATACACAGTTGTAGTGGGTATGAAAGCAGTTCTCCCGGATCAAAAAAATACCTTAATTAAAGAATTAAGCAAGCAAATCAAATAAGTTTGTTTTAATCATCACTTGACCATTTTGTTTTTTTTCTTTTCATTTTTTGGAACTAGATCTAAAGCGCTAGAAAACATTTTCAGTCGATAGAAAGTACATCACATTTTGACTTAAAATCAAAGTGATCATTTCATGATTCTGCCAAAAAAAACCAGACAGATTTGACACTGAATCTTCCTTCCTCTCTTCTCTTTGATGATAATAGGTGGTCATAGGCGAACCGGAAGTACATCCGTTCAACAGACCTTTCGAGTGATAACTCTCCACAAACATAGTGGATTTTCGATGCAGAATCTAATGCACGACATAGCAGTTCTTCAGCTGGCAGGAAGGGTACAGATGAGTGATAAAGTGACCACAGTTTGCCTTCCACAACAAGATGCAAATTTGAATTCTGAGTGTTACATAACAGGTCTGTCTTATTTTCCATACCACAGATTTTAACAAAATTGCAGAAGTGGGGGGGGGGGGGGAATAAGGAATAATTATGGCTGCAAGATCTTAACATGTATTCACGAGGGAGTTTTAATACTTTTCTCAGGATTTGAGGATTCGCTTTCATAAGAGAAGTTAAAAGAATACTCATTATTTCACGATTTATCACCTGTGATGGGGATTGGGAGGGGGGGGGGTAGGGGGGCTAATAAATAACGATTGATCCTTTAAAGATACACATTTTGAGTCCGTACTCTTCCCTCTTCCTTAATTGCTGATTGTTTAAGGGTGGGGACGTACCTCTGGCGGAGGGGGATTACCAGACATACTCCAACAGGCTAAACTTCCGCTGGTGTCCCATGAAAATTGCAAGAGGAAGTACGGTGTGGTCGACAGGAGTGCTCACTTGTGTGCCGGTGCGGGACGCGCTGGTGCTTCAGGGGGTTGCAACGGGGACAGCGGTGGTCCACTTGTTTGCAATGTAGGTGGCACGTGGTATCTGCATGGAGCTGTCAGCTTTGGAAAACAGAACTGCCCAACAACTCACTACACAGTGTTTACAAGGATCACGAGCTACCATTCGTGGATACTGGGGAAAATAGGTTCGTATTGACTATTGTACGGTCTTAATAAGTGTAGTGTAAATAAAACAAGATCCAAATTCTTATCTGAGGCTATGTGTTTATTGATTCATCATTTCCTTGTGAAATGAATGATGGAACGCACTCATTGAAATATAGTCTCGTTCAATGAAAACGTTATGGTCTTCAAAACCGTACATGACCTGAACTTCAAGGTTTGATTTCTGAAATTGACTGTATCGCTGTCACCTTTCTGATAGGGGAAGGAGGAGGTGGGCCGAATCCCCCACCCCCACCCCCAGGAACAGCACCACCCCCACCACCACCACCACCACCGACGCAAGCACCACCACCACCACCCGGTAAGTAGTGCGTTTAACGATAGTTACTGTCACATGTTTGTTGTTAATTTCCTATATATCTGTTATTTCTCCAATCGTTTTTGTTCGAGATTCCGGCTGTATGATATAACAGCTGAAGCAAATCCTATGTTCTTATTGGCCACCCGAGTGGACAAGATGAGCCCATCTTGCCCACTCGGGAATGCTCACTCAAATCGATCCCGAGCAAGAAAAAACATAGGTCCGCAAAGCGTCCATGTGTTTAGCGCGGAATTATGTCTTACAAAGTCATATTTTTGTGAACGGCAGACTTCTGATCATAAAACAAGTAAAAAGTTATTTTTTTATATCTGCAGCAAGATGTTATAAAAATATTTTAAGTTTCCTTTCTATTATTTTTGTTTTTTTATTAAAAAAAAAACAAACAAACAAAACAAAAACAAAAAACATTACGTAAAAACTCCCGTATGAGGACTGTCCAGGGCTGTGACAGGCTGTGTGGCCCCGTGAGTTGTGAGTTAAAGATAGAAAGGAGGAAAAGGAAAGAGAGACAGTCATACGTATCATAAAATACTCATTCTCTGAGTTAAGTCAGGCTCGGCGGAAAAATGAACTATTTTTCTCCTCGCTGCAGGTTGTAAGGACAACTGGAATGCGTGTGAAGCAAACAAACATTACTGCGCAACGTGGCCACAAATTAAAAGATATTGTCCAAAGACATGCAATGCATGTAAGTTACTCCGAAAAATATTAAACAATATAAGAAAGATGGTAAATTTAAGCTCGGTAATGAGATAGAGAAATTTTTTTTCCATCAAAGATGCGAAAAAAAATCCCAATCCTACACAATGAATAAACTTTGGTACTCTTGATACTGTGAACATTGGCCAATTACGCCCATCCTCCTCTTAGGAAGAGGAACCCAAATCCTTTGCTTGAATTAAACAGAAATTCCACACACAGACTTTTAGTTAGTCAACGTCGTTCCGATCGAAAATATATAATCAACTACACTCCATGCTTTTCTTTGCCAGCCATTTGGAGGGATGAATGTTCTTTCCGCTTAATAATTTTGATTCATTTTTTATTTTATTTTAACGCTCAACAGGTTAGATTCTGCATCAAACAGAGGCTTGGATTCAATTGTTGCAGCATAAAGGATGATTTAAGCTTAAGTGAAAATAAAATTAGTATTTAGCTGCAAAATGAGCAATCGTGTCCCTTTTGATGTATTTCACTTTATTTCCTATCTTTCTGATTTTTTTTCCTTTTTCTTTCTTCTTCTGGAAACTGGTTTAATCGTGGGTGGATTTACAATTAAGTAACAAAATTTTCGTGACAAAACTGGGTAGCCAGCACATACGGGTTGAGGTGAATTCCGGTTAACGGGTAAGTCCTACAGATAGCCTCGCTGATGTTATCCAACACTGTCTAAACAAGTCTGATTTCTTTTGAGGCGAGTCGAACTGTAAGTTGGAAAAAATCCATCAGTCAAGTTTGGGTTACGAGGGAAAAATTGAACATATATAGTATAGAAAAATCCTGATTCAAATTCGCTCGGAGTTCCCAGGCGACTCGCTAAGAAACGACCGCGTGTAGTTCATATCTTCCCTAAAGTAATTCTTTTAATTATTTCCCTCTTTTTTTATTGAATTGAAAAAGCAACGTCTGGAACGATCTATTTCCTAACACTCCTAATTGTCGTGGTTAATACGAAATACTTGATACAATAAAATAAAAAATATGCATATTAACAAATTTTGAAAAAGTAATGCAAACAATTATCAAAGATCATCGTGAAAATCGCAAGCTATGGAAGATATTTGAACGATATTTTAACTGAACTGAAATAGCACTAAATACTCGCCAATTTTCCTAAAGCTGTTATCAAGATATATCACTACTCTCTAGAAAAAGTATCTTTTGTCTCATCGTTACACCACTTAATGTTTTTTTTTCAAAGGCTGCGGAACAAACTCCTAATTTTCTCCCAACAAAGCATGACTGCCACTCAAAGATACTTCGGCAAGATTTCCCAATAACCCTATATTCTTTACGCACAAAGTGCTTGGATAAAATAAAACAATGGCAAACAAAAAAAAAACGGTTTAGTTTTATAATGTTATAGGGAAATGTTTCTTGTATTTCTTCTGTACAAAGCAAGATATCGCTTTCGCGTTGTGATATATCTCTAAAGAAATGCTATGCAGAGGCCTTGGGATCTTCAAGTGACGCTGTCAATCACAATGTATTTTATAATTCATGGGAAAAAAAGTAGTATAAATGGCTCATTATTTACTCATTGTGAGGATAGTTTTATCAGGTGTAAGGTGAGCGTGCAACCATTTACAGGTGAGCAAATAACCCATGGTATAAACTGTCACGTCTATGAAATAACATTGGTTTACCAGCTGCAAATATACTATTTCTCTAGGTAGCGAGGTAATGAAACTCAGAAAAGATCGCGAATTTTCCTTTAAGTCGAAAGCTGGTAATAAACTTCCTTTAAAAAGTTATGTCTTTGGGATGGTACAGCTGAGATATGTGCAAACAAACTACTCGCTAAGCATTGTCAAAAAAATATAAACTAGTCGCCAAAGTAGTCGGAGGATCTGAGTCCACTAGTCTAACAAGATGTCTTTCTTCGCAATTGCAACGGTTCTTCTCTCGATACTGGTTCCTTCATTCAGCCAACGTGAAGCCGGTAAGTTGCACATTCAGAGCTCGTTATCAAGAGGTAGATTGGAGTTCGTGAATATTTTGTTTATTGTGATCAGGGTTCCTTTCTCACATGAGAATAGAAACATTGAAGTCGAGTATACGCGGCCTTAATGAAAGTTTATCTTAGGAAACGACTGTAAAGATCCAGGCCACGGCCCAGTATAAGTTCGACTGTTGCGAGTTGTCGATGCAAAAGCACCATCAAAAGCCCTTGCAACATATGCCATTATGCCATTTTCATCACCAAGCAGAACTTCAGAACTGACTGGTTCTGAGGTTAAGAGTTCTGTTGAGAGCAATCGTAACATTGTTTTTCCGAGCACGACGCTTTAACACACTTAAATGAATTAAGCTCTCTACTAAAATTCCGTGTTCCCTAAATGTGTTTTCCGGCGCTGTTAAGTTACATTTTTTTCTCTCCATTTCAGAATGCGGCAAGCGACCATTCTCAGCGCGAGTTGTTAATGGCGAGAATGCAACACCTCATTCGTGGCCATGGCAGGTTTCCCTACGGGTTAACGGCCACCACATCTGCGGTGGATCTCTTATCAAAGCTAACTGGATCGTAACCGCGGCTCACTGCGTACGAAATTTTCCATATCCACAAGGATACACTGTTGTAGTAGGTAATTAAAAAGAATGAGTACACGCCCAATGCGTAAATAGCATTACCAATTGAATCTGATTCTTTTCGTTCGCAAGCAATCAAGAAATGGCTAAACAAAAGAGATGCCAACGAGCCCTTTCCACATCCCTCGAACCCTAAAAAACTTTGTCGATACCGTGATACAGAATATAACATATATGATATTCTACGCTCAGTTTTAGAATCGGAACCCATAAGCCATAACATTGGTACCACACGTACCTCATAGCTTATAAATAGGAGTTTACCCAACATACCTTTTGTTTTTTCAAATCATCAGTTTTATTTTGGTTTTTCCTTGATAGACCTTGTGTCACAGTTCCTCTATGAGCCTTTCATTTACTAACTGATTACGTAGGGGCGCATAGACGAAAAGGTTCAACTTCTGTTCAAGAGGAGTTCGATGTGAAGACTCTTTACAAGCACGATGGTTTTACCATGAACAATCTGAAACACGACATTGCCGTTCTTGAGCTGAAGGGCTCGGTAAAGATCAGTGATAAAGTGTCACCCGTTTGTCTTCCTACTGAAGAGCCAGCACCTGGAACTGAATGTTATATTTCAGGTTAGAAAAGAAAAATTGTATGAAGCTATTTGCTGTGAAAGCTGCTAACTGATCAACTGCTCTACCTCATCTAAATGGAACGATATTTCAAACCTTTCCTTCTGAAAAACTTAATTTAGTTTGCTAGGGAATTTAAAGTCTACAAAGAACACCGAATGTAATCAAATCTTTGGAGTGAAACAAGTCTTTTGTTTAGAACGACTAAATAAATTAACTAATACTGTGAGTAGGTTGAGCCTATCAAGAAGGAAATGCACAATCTCCCTTTGCGTATCTAGAGCCATGTTAACTTTTTTTTTCATATTTTATCTTATGGTGTATTTCTCTTAGTGTTTTGAGGGTCGACTCAGATTTATAACCATATTCGTTTCAGGATGGGGACGTCTTCGAGGAGGTGGGTCCGCCCCCGATATCCTTCAACAAGCGATGATACCAATCGTTTCCCACGAAGAATGTAAAAAGAAGTATGACCGATACGACAAGCAAGCTCATTTGTGTGCTGGACAGGGGCATGCGAGTGGCTCAGGTGGCTGTCAGGGAGATAGTGGTGGTCCGCTTGTTTGTGAGAAGGATGGCACTTGGTACCTGCATGGCGCTGTAAGCTTTGGGAAACGAGGCTGTCCAACTAAGTACAACACAGTGTTTGCAAGAATCACGACTTACCTGCCCTGGATAATGGACAAGTTAGGTAACAGATTGTTTTCAGTACTACTCTTGAAATTGTGAAAGATTGCTGAAGTACACTGCTTAAAATGATTTAGCGACTCTTGATATCCGCGTCATGAAGAAGCTTGAAATCCGTCTTGATCACAAGTTAATATATTTGATTGTAATAAACCGTATTTTGCCTCTCACTGATCGGTATTGTTTTATTTATTAGTCAACAGACCGCCAGCCCCGACACTGCCCCCCAAAACGCCTCCACCGGGTGAGTAAATATTGTTGTGGGGCAATCTACGGTCGTTTGAAGCTAATGGCGCTTTCTTAAAATACCTCCACGATGGACACCTGTTGATTTGACGATCTAGTTCTCTGAACCAATAACGTACTAAGAAAGTTCCATTGTTTCCATAAGTACCATTTTTAAATGAATCGCGGTCTTTTTTCTTTCTTGCATTCTCATTCAGGCTGCAAGGATAAGCGGGAAGACTGTGCTTCCAATAAGATGTGGTGTCGCTTCATGCCTGACATAAAAAGGGATTGCCCTTTCACATGTGACAACTGTAAGTTTTACTTCCCGCCGTGTCAAAACGCACGTGTCTTCTTCATGATTGTCTGAAAGGCTCAGCTTGGAATCATGAAGATAAACGGCTTTCCTTACAACTTTTGATTCTTTATTTCTTTCTTTCTAGGTTGAATCCTTGATGCATAGCATATAAATCTCATTCCAAACTCATTTGTATCAACACATTTGACAAAAGCGACGGAAGCAATAAAAGTATATGATAAAAAGCCCAACTTTTCTTGTCTGTTGATATTGAATAAATATTATAGTAATGGCCGAGGAAGGCGGTGCTGGATGGGAGGGACTAGAACACAGTACTGCGAGTATCTAAGTAATCGTTACAAATTTAATGCTCCCGTATCATTTTACTTCTACAAAGATGAGCTAAAGAAAAAAACGCGCCAAAAGCACTCCATTATTTCTAGCGCTACACCGTACAGCCCAAATAATTAAATCTTATTGAATACCAACGGAACACTAATAGGTTAGAAAACTTGTTGATCATAAAATGAACAGGGTGTTACCTAACCTATACACCTTTTCTCGGGATGGAGAGGAGACGAGGGATTAAAAATTCGTCTGTTTTGAAACGAGAGATGTTTCTATATGATCAGAGGGGCGTCATTTTTTGGTCCGTTTCCTCTTTTTTGTAATGCACCATGAAAGGTTTAGCTCGATCTGAGTATCATTTTATTGTCATTTGTACTTCCCTACTCATTCATTTATAACCCAATGAGACCTTTCTTTTTTGTTGGTGGCGTTAAGAAGTTCATATCTCATTTTCTACAATAATCTTATTGCCTCCTGTGCAATTAGAGGTGTCGTTAATGCTTCTAAAGGCTGCGCAAACAGGCTTATCTCATTGTGCTCTAGATCTTCTCCCCAAATTGTATCCCCTATCATAGGAGAGTCCATCTTAAATCGTGTTTTGATTGTTCCCTAAAGTATTTTGCTATTTCAGCTTGTTACATCAATTAAATTTCTCAATGGCTAATAGTGAGCTGAGATGGCAAGCCGAGAAAAATTGAAATGTTCTTTAGAATGATGATGGACGTTGTACGACTGGAAATTTCCCTCTGGGAAAATTTTGAGTGACAGTTTAGTTATGCGTTGATCTGTGTTTTCAAATGTAACAAAGACGCCTACACACCTTTGCAGGTGTGCTTGAACCAATGCAGAATTTACATCAACTGGTTACACATAATTCTTGGTTCAGCCTTCACAACACTCCTCGATTTCACACACATGGGGCAGTTGTGTTTGAATGGATTCGATAAAAATCTTGCCCAGGCAATGCTGAAACAACAAAAATGACAGATATAAATTTTATGTTTAACTCAGAAAACTGCTGCTGAACAGTGTCAACTGAGAAACCAACCGACAATCCGCATCACCAGTGTTGAGAAGGAAGCGCAGTGAAAAAAAATCAACGATGTTTTTTCTTTTTTCTGTACTTGTTGCCTTTTTAGCTCCTTCGATTTGTCACGGTACGTAAATGAAATACTTGCTTAAAATACCATTATGATTATCTCAGAATTATAACTATGTTTTAACTTTAGATGGCACGCACTGAAAACAAAACCACTGTTCTGGTTTAATACCTCGCGCACACTAATTGCGTCTTTTGTATCTGAGCAAGAACCGACGAGAAAGTTACGTCAAGTTTATTAGCTATTTCCATGCGTGGGAAAGTCAAAGAACCACATTTATTTTCCAAAAGAATTGCTTTGCATTCGATTTGTTCAAATATGTTGGGGAAGTTGTTGAGATATTACAGCCATTGAGCTGAGACACCTGGAGTAGGTTACATGATGACGTGTTACTCAAACCGAAGCTTCAGCGGTCCGCGGCTGATCGAGGGCGGTTATACAACCAGGTTGTAGAAATGTGAGAGTTCATGAAGTTGACATTTAAGGAAGACAACAATCCAAAACGTTTTTCAAGTGAGTCAGAAAGTAATCTTGTGCAAAAGTCAGGCGTGAAAATTGAGGTAAGCGAGAGTTGTTTTGCAGTCTAACAGTAGCACGTGCTCGAAACGTCGCGGGTATAAACTTTTTCAAAAACCATTGAATACTCTTCTTGTCACCGTGCCCGGATCTAGATACTCAAATTCATAAATAATGTATTTGCAGTCCCTTTCAGAAGTGAACAGTGCAACAATTTTGACCAGCACTCGTATTCAGCAGATTTGTGAGTGATGTTGTTGTTGCGGAAACCGATAGGATAAGATGCGTATCCTCCCCAGTTTCCATGGTGATTGAAATGTGATATTTTGGTGCGCGTGTGAGAAAAACGTAAGAAAAAATGAATGGTTTCAGATTTGAATTTCTTGCCAGTGTCCAACTGGATAATTCTCGTGGCAGACCATGTAAAAACCTATAACATCTCCCTCTCTCCCTCCTGTAGTGCAGTGTTTTTAATATTCACTAGATTTGAATTTTTAGAAACGTTTGACTGTTTCGCACGTTTCCATAATTAATTTTTTTAAAAAATATTATTAACTATGGGTGAGACATTTTCTTTTTGGATATTATATTTCGTACCTTTTTAAGTGAGATAGTGCCGCCTTCTTTACTGCTTAAAATATTTGCGGTGATTAGGTTATATTGCCATATTATCATAGTTATTGAAATGCCGATTAAAAGTTTAATGAAGCTATTATTAAGCTATAATTTGGATTTCACCAGACTACTCTGGTATCGGTTTAATTTCATCTTGATTTGTTAAAATATTCTTTTGCCCCGATCCATCTTTTCTCAAGTTCTTTTTAGCTAACTTAAAAAACTTACTGTATTGCTCTTTTCATGTTCATCTACCCTCTTTAAAGGATGTGGCAAAAGACCATTCCATTCTACACGAGTGGTAAATGGGCAAAACGCTGCACCTCACTCGTGGCCATGGCAGGTATCTCTACGTAAAGATGGAATGCACATCTGTGGTGGATCTCTGATCAAACCCAACTGGGTGGTTACTGCGGCTCACTGTGTCTACAAGAATAAATATCCAGGATTTTACAGAGTTGTTGTAGGTAATGCACAGATTAAGTCGTCAAGCCAACTCATCTTAAAACGTTAGCTTGAGAGGAGAGAGGTCTCGTGGCACTTACCCCCAACCCCCTCTCCCCCTTCTCTCTCTCTCGGAGGGATAACTTATTTTCCCGACAAGAGAAACACCTTATAATTCAGGTCTTGAAAACGTTCAAATCCAAAAATCTGAATCGCGTTTTCTTTTACGTGCGAGATGTTCCATGTGCCATCCCCTCCACATTTCCTTTAAAAAAACCCTAAAGCTCTTGATCTCATTTTAATTTAATGTCTTCACTGGCTAAAAATGTCAATGCCTATTTCCACATATTCCGAATCCCATTTCCTTTAAGAAATTTTGACTGTCATTTAACGCGAACTTGATTGTCGATATCCGCGATCAAGTATAATTTTTTGGTTGTCATAAATATGACAACCAAAAAATAGTATGATATTGTCGTTTTAGGTGCCCACAAACGCCTTGGATTTACTTCGATTGAAAAGGCGTTTCGGGTTAAGGCCATTCACCTGCATGAGGAATTTACTATGGAGACTCTGAAACATGACATTGCGGTTCTTGAGCTCAGAGGCTCAGCAACGATCAGTGATAAGGTCTCCACAGTTTGCCTTCCCACTGAGGAACCGAAGCCTGGGACGAAGTGTTTTATAACAGGTTTGAGAGTTTTAATTTCTAGAGAAAGTTTGTTTTCATCCTTGGAAAAATTGTAATCAGGAACCCTTATCAGTCTTCTGAGATTTGTTGTGATGATGCGCTGAAAGGGTCCGCAGTAGTCGTATTTTTAAAATCGCGGCAGACTAGCTACATACATGACAGAGACAACATTCAAACAATGTCTGCTTCATTTCAAGAGATTATATCCGTAGTGTCAGGTTCGCTGCTTAGCTAGTGCTTTCGTTTTCTTGATAAGTGGAAGATAAAGAAACACGGGAATTCATGATCACGATCATGAATTCCCGTGTCGATCACGATCGATCGATCATGTTCGTTTCCGTGAAACACTGAACATTCATTGCCTTAATTTATATTCTCTTCTTTTTTGTTGGAAGGATGGGGCCTTGTTTCAGAGAGCGAACAAGCGAACATCTTGCAACAAGGGGAGATGCCTATAGTGTCGAACGACGATTGTGCAAAGAAATACACTCGGTTTGATAGCAAGGCTCACTTATGTGCTGGGAAGGGACAGGAAAGCAATTCAGCTGGTTGCCGTGGCGATAGTGGAGGTCCACTTGTGTGTGAACAGGGTAACTCTTGGTATCTGCACGGTGCTGTTAGCTTTGGCAAAAAGGGATGTTTGCCGACCGCCTACACTGTATTCGCAAGAATCACAACTTATATCCCGTGGATTATGAATAAAATAGGTAAGGAAAGATAAGAAAGAATATCTTTTTCGCCCCGCCAGATTGTGCCGAAAATGGACGAAAACGTACGTCAGAAGCATTTGCGGCTGACCTGGCTCAGAGACGCAACAGGCGAGGCAAGAATTTACACCCGATTCTTTTCTTTTACAATCCGTGCAGGAGGGAGCCCGCCACTACCAGCGACGCCACCCCCACCAGCAACACCACCCAAGCCGTCTCCACCGAAACCAGGGCCTGGTAAGTGAACACAACAATGACGATGGGGGAGTTGTGTCTCTCTCACTTTAATTTTATCTTTCCTTTTTTTTTCTCTCTTTTTTTTAATGCACCCTTGTTTCCAGTTATACGATTCGCTTTTCCTCTCTCTGCTGGGTTATAATCGGGAAGAAAACAAAGACCAACCAGAGATGCATAAATTCGGTGAGGCAATGCCAAAGAAGCGATGTGGGTGCGAGATCGAAAAGTCAACAGATGGCAATGAGTTGGTATTCGCCTTTCTTTTGCAGGTTGCCGAGATAGCCAGACATATTGCCCCAGGTATAAGCACTACTGCATTAAATATCCGAGTTTCAGAAAGGATTGTCCCAAAACCTGCCATGCTTGTAAGTTACTTTTAACATAACCAAGTTCCAATTTTTATCCTTCAATTAGCAATAGCTATGACGTAACTGGAAACCGCCGGTATACATGTCACTATTAGTTGCTAAAGACTGCTCTCAGCTGTCACATATAACTTCTTTGATATAATATTATCATCATATGAAGAATTAACCAAGCCCAAAGGCGGAGCTCTTGTCACTTTATTTTGAAGCCTTCACTGCAATAAAAACTATAATAGAACTCTTCAGCACTGGTTGTCGACGGTTTTCTTCGAGGGGATTTAGGGAGGAGTCCGGGGGTTGGTGGGGGTAATTGACGGGTCTGGAACCGTAGGACGATGTTCTCTTCTTTTGTCGCATTTTTTTCTTTGTCTATTTATTGTTTTTTTCATATTCTTTTTTTTCCCTTTTTTTCATTGTAGGTTAAACGACGTCGAAGAACTCAAATCAAACACAGTAGATTAAACCATATTAACCCTCATACAAAGCTGCTGTGTGTTTTTATTATACGTAGTGATACATATTTCAATTCACTTGGCCCGCTATTGCTGAGCCAAATCAAAAAGAACTTCTCTTACCGACCATCAACCTCTAAACTCTACATAATTAAAGTGCTTTGTCTTTCGCTTAAGCCAGATATGTTGATTACGTAATCTGACAGTGAGATACTTGGAAATATCCTGCATGGTAGCGAAGATGTAATGAGGAACATTGCCATGAAGTATCGTTTATTTAACTCATTTTTTTGCAATGACGAGGCGGGAAGTGAATAGATCCTAAATTTAAAAAGCTTAAAAAGCTTAGAGAAATACCAAGTAAATGAATAATCATAAACGAAAAAGTTAATAAAGGCTTGAGATGATTTCCTCATGACATTTGCAACGAACTAAAACAGGAATTGTGAACATGAAAGCGGTCTTCGTAGTAATGAACACTACTTTAACGGTAGTAAAATACTCATCACATTTACTGGTTACTCATTACTGCGAAGATTGCTTTCATATTCACTTCTTTATCTGCAGTTCACATATATTATTCTTTTATGTCCGCTGTCATTGAAATCAGATATAGTTTTTTTGATTTTCGGACTCGCGGCAGACCCTGACTGAATCGACGAAAAATCTTGTCGCAAATTTTGCAGATTGTTGCGAAGCTAAATTTGCGCTCTTTCCTTTCTCTTTGAGTTAGAAAGTTGTCAGCCTTTTTCTCTAATTTTATTTACTGGAACCCCCGCCAGACAAATACTGTCCTTATTGATTTGCTTCTTATGTAATCAGTTCTCCTCTGATCAAATGAAATGATAATAATGATAACAATACGAACAAAATTAAAAAAAGTAAGTGATATGATGTAAAGGAAGGAAAAAAGAGATGGAAAAAAAATACTTTGTGTTCGATTATCAAGAAAGTCTGCTTATTAAACCGCGCCGTCAATATCAAGATAAACATCCATTTCAGCCCATTTAGACTGACGGATACTAGGAAAATCTTTTCAATTTTAAGATGTAAATTAGCATTTCTAAACCTTCTTTCTTGTCTTGGCATTAAGTAGAACCTTCTTTAATGCAAAAAGTGAGAAGAGCAGCTGCATAAATGTTATTTGAATCTTTGTCGTACTGGGGCCGGTTATTATTTATTTTTGTTTCACATATAATTGTCATAGTCGATCTACTTGACAGCGTTGTGTTTGCTAGTTTTGTCTTATTTTAATTTTTTGAAGGCTTTAATAACCAACGCTAGGTTTCACAAATTGACCATGACTTATAGCTACGACAATCACGCAAAGAAGCTGCATGCCAACTGCCATAATTATCCATCTGGGTGTATAGTATTTGAAACTGATATAACTTTATCAGCTAAAAACTACTATTCCTGATCGACAACGATCACAATCTATTAGAATCGTGCGCCAGCTGCAGGTAGTTTTTATCCGACGCATGACACACTACTCGTTATGGTAACAACTTTGCTTCAAGGCTGAGGTTGTGAAATGTCGATTTGACGTCTTCTATTAGATAACCAGTGTATTCAATCCCTCTTTCATAAAATGTAATTGAACTTTTCTTTGTATTTTCAAGTGAATTTATTAGTGTTCTGTCTGGCCGTTGACATTTGTAAAAATGTCTCCCCGGCTGAGTATACGCTTCTTGTTACTTGAGGAGCTCAGGGAGCTCCAGTTTGAAAATGTATGAACTCATCTAATCGATTTCTTCAAGATCACAATCGGTTTGTCCTTTTACAGTGCTTTCCTTTTCTTTCCTCGACGCTCCTCCTCTAGATCTATGAGTACTGTCCAAACCAATTGGATTTACCCGATTGGATGAAATGATGTGATCCCTTAAAACGGGAATACAACGTGTTGTTCGCAGTAGTGCGAAGCGAAAGCTCTCGTTTCTCATGACGTAAATACAAGGATTTACCGATGAACTTAAGAACAGGAGGGTGAAAGCCCAGTCAAACCTCATCTTGTCAACAATTCCCATCCAATCAAACACGATATCAGGGAAAAAGCATATCAACGAGGCAGTCACGAGGATTGCCGACGTTTTTGCCGCACTGTTTTCGCTTTTGATCTTGGCGGCCTTGTGGTTGAAGGAGACGGATTGCACTTGAGACGAAATTTTGCGCACCTGCTTGCGAGCCACCCAGAAGATATAAGTGTAGGTGAAAATAAATAATGCGAACATGAAAGTATGGACGTGTGGGGTTACTTTTCTTCCACTGTCGGTGGTGAAAAAGTAAGCAAGGATTATGGAAGAACCCCAAATACCACCGAGGATGCTTACATACAACCTTGTCCGATGATGAGACATTGTGTAGGAGAATGGATTAAGTAGCACAGCCATTCTGTTTACTGTGATTCCGGTGAGGCTATTGAAGGAAGCATGAACACCGATAAAAGCCGTTAATTCAAAGGCATATTTAAACCCAGCAGTGGTCTCTTTTCCCAAAATGACAATGTACATTGGTTGAGCTATCAGGCATACGATCAAATCCGCAATGGATAAACTTGCCATGAGTAAGTTGAGTTCGTTACGCATTTGGCGATTTTTCAAAATGACGACGATCACTAGAAAATTGACGACAGTTCCGATAGAGCATAGAATGCCGTTTAGCGCCATCAGAAGATGAACTTTGGTAGCTACCATATCGTTGCCCGTTTTTCCGCACAACTGTTTCCAACTGCTTCGCAATTAAGAGTGGCAACGAAAGCATAGGTGATTTTTCAAATAAGGTTGTTTGTGCATGCGAGTAAGAGAGCAAATAGAGAGGAATTTAATTAAAAATTTTTACTTGTTCTGTCTATTTACACATCAATGCTTGATTAAACCGATCCAAGTCACTATCTTAATTGCAAATTATAGCTTCCTTCTTGTCTCCAGGTTTGAAGTATTATCATGTCTGAGTAAAAAAAAAAAAAAATGCTCTTGAACACTTTCTTCCTACCAATCAAACTTGAATTCAAATCTTTAAAAAAATCTTTCTGCTGCAAAAACTACCTCGATAAAATTGATTTCATAACATTCTCATTTAATTTTCTCTAAGAAAAGTTAATTCATGATATTTTTGCGTGGTGTTTGCATAAACTGAAGCTCATGTTTCGTGTTAGTTGATTATTGCGTGCGGGCAATGTTGAGGCTGCTTTACATTTTGCAGGTACTCACCATTAATGTGTATCTTGCACATTAATTAAAAAAACACCCGAGGCAACAAAAAAAGACTAAAACATAAATAAAACATAAATGAGTCAAAATGCCATTTCAATTGCCTTTTTTTTTTACTGAGTAGGTTGCTTCTTGGTGTAAAACAAAGACTTACACCATAATGCATGTCGTGATCTGAAGCGTTCCTCGACATCTGTCACTTGAGAACAGTTAAAATATTTATAATGGCTAACGTGATAATTACGAGCGTTTTTATCACTGGGTGAGCCTCAAGGACTTTAAACAATACAACGGTTAACGAGGCCAATGACAAGATTAGGAGACTTAATGTAACGAGAAATTCCCCATGGCAACGTTCCTAGCTATCTGATGAGGACCGCAGGAGGACCGCAGGATAGCGGTAAGGATGCCTACTGACAGTTTTGTTTAGATTTCCTCGAATCGATGTTCGAAAAAATATTTCTTACTATCTAAATACAGCATGTGTATTTTCAAATGTCATTAGTGGACAACACTTAAATTGATTTAAAAGTTTGTGTTTTTTTAGACTTAACTGATCCGGTCATCTGTGAGTGTCATTAAATATTCATACTCAGAATGTTAACCTTTTTTTTCTTTTTTTGCTTTATTTTGGTGTAGTTTTTTTGGTTGAACTGAAGATGAAATTAATTAGCTACACTACTTTTAGGAGGGGGAAATTTGTGGGTTTCTGAACACCGCAATGTCTCCCTCTATTAAGGTATTATTCAAAATTATAGGAGTTCGTTCTTTCTGTTTGGAAGGTAGTCGCACGGCAATATATGAATTTGTGTCTCGTAACACTTTCAATTACCTCTGAATCAGGAGAGAGACCATTCCAATCAGTATCTAACTGCATGATCAAGGTACATTATGTTTGTTCCTTCTCATCTTGTCAGACAAGTGTTTTGTCAGTATTTTCCTTTATAGTGGAAATAATTCGCATATCGGGGCCATAACTTTTATTATTATCGAACGGCACTAAGTAAAGTGCAAATAGAGCGAATCGAGTAAACATGTCACGCGATATTGGACAGTTGGTTACTTTGTACTGTGAAACAAAACAAAACAAAACCTAACAGGTCAGTTACGTGTTGTACGCCTCTCTATCTGCTTCGCTTTTTCAGCATCATAGGAAATGCGCATAACATAGAGCAGTTGGAATATAAATAACTAATTAGACGTATCGCATAGTATTTTTAACTCCTATGTTGTATTTTTACTTCTCCGGACTTGTCAAAATACGGCACAAATCGTAAAAAATACTTAGCGATACTACACACCAAAACTTCTAATATTATACATATTTATAGCATCCTTAAAGTATTGCGATACAAAGCGATGACAAGTCTAAACGATTAAATGATTTATGCTGCGCTCTCGATGTACCGGCAATTCAAATTTTAATTCTGTAATTGAAAATACTGATGGGCAGTTCTATGATTGTTACGACCCTCTGATTATACAAAGGTTTCCCCATTTAATGTTATCGACTCTATTTGCTACATTGGACACATTAATGTGCAGATTAATATATTTTATATTCTGTTTATGTCACTGTAACGCACTTGACGTCAATACAGGGGGATTCTCCAACCGCACACCATCTTGGAATAGAAGAAAACCTTGTAGTCAAAGTGATAAATAAAGGAAAACATTTTTTATGAGTGCCACGATTATTAGTGTACAGTGCAAGAATCGTTACAGCGCCTCCCCTAAATTTATTAACGGTACATGGATTTTCTCAATTCATGAAAGTTTACCTATTTGAGACACTGAACAGAGAAATGGGCGGCCAAGCATGATCTGTTTTACGTTTGGCGTCAATACAAGGGTATTTCCCAACCGTGCAGAGGATGGAAATTGAAGAAAACATTCTTGTGGTTCAGGAGAGAGGGTACAAGTTTTTCTCATTTAGAATTGAAATCATAAATCTTATTGACTAGTGATTTTGCTCATCGCCACAAACTCACAGTTGTGATTTTATTTGTCTTAACCTCTAAATGAAAGAATTTAAAAAGGGAAGGCTGAAGCCATGCATGGCTTCAGTTGCCATAAATTAAAGTTGTAACGTCATCTTAAATGGCCAGAAATAGTCAGAAAAATACGTGTTTAAGACGATATAATTGGAAAGTCAAAATTAAAACTTTTTCGGGGACTCAAAAATGGTTTATACCCTTAAGATTTTAAGGGCTTTCTCTCTTCTTTTGGTATATCTGAGTAATATTTAAGAAAATTAAACGGAACTATTGGAAGAGTTGAATTCTTCTTACCAACGTTTAAATTCCCGGTTTTTGGAAAGGATATGAATAAATAGACTGATAACACTAGATAAAAATAGAAATCATTGTTTGGAGAGTATAAAAGCTAACCTCCTCAAATGTACAGCAACATATCTGCTGAGTTTTGAGCCCTCAGAAGCTGAAGATCAATTGCAGTGTAGTAGAGCTTATTGAAGACTGGAAAATGATGGTCAATTTCCATACAAAGGCAGGATTGTCAGAGGTAAATTAAACGACATGAGCAGTCTTGACCTTGTTGATCGTGTTGGTCGAAGTTGCTTTTGAGTAACAAGAAAATGTATCAGTGACCTATCGCAGAATTTGGAAAGAGAGAAGAAGATAATAACTTAACTCTTTAACTGTCAGATTAAATTTGTAATTCTCCTTACTGCCAATCATACGATACGTATTGATGTTGTTAAAATATCGATGCGCTCCACCAAACTTGGCAAATTGTTTGCAGGAATGTGTGCTTTTTGCAATGAAGTTTACCAATTATTGTTTTGTTTCCTTGCTTGTTATTTTTTTTCAATTTAATTGTTTATTTTTGGCCAAAATAAGCGTTGGGTATTGTTGGCGTTAATTTTTACGTTAAGGTACAGGAGTTGTATATTTTCCAAACACCCCCACTCCCTCCCCTTCGAAATTTTTTGCCTTCGATTTTGATTCGTTTGTGAGTTTATTTGTGTTCGCATAATCGACGATCCTCTTACTCTGGAAATTCTTTACTAAGGCTTTTATTGTGTAAAAAAACTGTCGTTTTTGATCATTCTAATACTTCCCAATTTTTCTTCTGTTGCAGTGGCTGTGTTTCTTTTTTTTCCTGGCTGTTATTCTTCCCAATAAAACTCTCAGTAAACCTTTTGAACTCGAAGCTTCAAGAGAAGATTTCGCCGACGACAAACTTGAACCAAACGTAGCTTACCAGAATAATACAACAGATGTCCGAAGTAAAAGGGAAGTGAAAACACTGAGAGATATCTGTAATGCTGGTCATTATAGGATCTCATCAAACGGTTGTGTTAAGAGATGGCTTGTCTGCTATGATTATCAAGAAGCGGAGTGTAACGCGGGCAGCTTCAAGTGCCTCAGTAGTATCCCGAGGTGCGGATCACCAAAGTGTAAGCCAATTTATGACTTTGTGAAAGTCAATCTAAACGGTGCAACACAGAAATTCAGAAGAACCAAGGGTTGTATTTGCGCATGACGACTTCAGGAGAATCGAGACCAAAATAAGTTTGTACATAAAAAAATACTATATTTATTTACTTGCGTATGTAGTGAGAAAACGTTGTTAACAGTGCATATATCGTATCAGTTGATTTATTGTTTTATTATAGTTATCAACATCATGATTACCTGAATATTATTATGTTTTATGTTAAACGTCATTATTACCATTATTGCTATTGTTATAGCTAGTGTCATTGTTAATAATAATACTGTAATTATGTTTTTGTAAAACTTTTCTGGTAATAAAAGTATTGCTTAAGACACTTGATTCGAAGAAATTTTTTTGTAAACCTCTTCCAGAAACAAAGTATCTCATAAGTTAGGAAGCTATTGTCAGCGACACAACACTAATAAGTTCATGTAATGACTTTCGAAAGCATTTGGGAGAGAGAAGTGGGGTTGTTAGTTTCCAAGTTTTCGGTTTTCATTTTTTCGCTGTTAGAGGGTATGAGCGAAATGGTACAACTTTCTCCGTCTATTATAAAGTAGTGTTCTCTAAACCATGTACAGGGGCTTTTTAAAGTTCTCCCAGTCAGGCAACGAATGTATATAATTTTAATGTTTTGCAAGGTTAGCATATTAACATATGCTAATTTTTGCAAAAATGTACTGTTTGATCTTATGCGAAGCTTTTCAAATGTACTCCTTCGTGCCTGGCTTCTTATTCATTTGCTATGTTTAGCTTCCTCTCACTTTACTTTTTTGATTTATTGACCAGAAATCAGTTAAAGTATCGATGAATTATTGTGAATTATGATTATGTGAGAGATAGCAAGAGTGAAATGCTGTTGTGGTTTGAGTGTGATATAGCAGCGTGTAAGCGAAAACACCTCTGAGTCTCCTTACTCACACCTAAAGGCAAATCCGCTTCGTATCTCATTTAGGTGATAACTAGCATCTGATTTAATGATCGCGGCTTTATTCAAAAGGGAACCCATACTAACTATTCAAAATGTACGAGGAGAGAGAAAATTTTGTAAAGGT